TACGACGGAAGATAAGACGATAAAGAACGCATGCTACAACTGTGGAGAAGTTGGACAATATTTCAAAGCAAGATGCAAGCACAAAGAACCAAAAGTGCTTTAAGTATAATGTACTGGGGCACAAAGCGAAAGATTGTCAAGTTAGGAGGTCCAAACTATTCTGTGCTGGCGCTGAACAAGTTCGTAAAAGACGTAAAGATTGGAGAAATTAAGTGCGAAGCGTTGATTGACACAGGCGCCGCAGTCAACATTAGGACGTCAAGAATTTACAAGCAGGTAGGTAGTCCGCAACTGAGCGAGACTAGAAAGATTTTGAAAGGTTTTGGAGGATGGATGACAAAACCAGATGGTCATATCACGTTACCGATGACGATAGATGGAAAGACGTACGCAAGTAAATTCTACGTTGCAAACGAAAAGAACTTTGACGTCATATTAAGGCGAGAGTTTCTTAACGACGTGAACATGACGATTAAACGAGGAAAGATAGCGTTTGACACGTTGGACGACGATGCATTGCCAATTATGCAGATCGAAGCAGAGGAACAAGATGAGATATTGCCAATTGAGACAAAAGATGTGAAGATGAAAGAAGCAGTACTAAAGATAAGTGAAGAAATGGAAACAGAAATAATTAAGAAGGTTCATGAAAGAGGACATTTTGGGCTAACTGAATGTAAAGAGGTAATCGAGGAAGAATTTTTTATTAAACGCTTGGAGAAAAAGCTTGAAAGAGTTATAAATTGCTGCGATGAATGCATTTTATTAAACAGAAAGATGAGAAAAAAGAAGGATGTTTAAATCAATTGTCAAAGAAGATATGCCGCTTAAGACTTTACACTGTAGCGGTGATCTACATTTATTTCTTATCGTCTGAGCTTTGTGGTTGATCCGTCAAGGATGTTGGCCCAATTACATTTTCGTAAAATTACCATTGTATTTCAATACATTTGTTTTTAGTCTGAACGAAACAAAGACCAGACGATGAAAATTGGGATATAAAAGGGACACCTCCGGCTCGGGGAATCAGAACAGTTCGTGAAATCTTCGAGTTCGTTTGGTGAAGAAGCAAGTACAATATTAACGCACACCAAAGTGGTGACCCCGACGTGATTGAAATTTCTTTGTGTGTGTGTCCAAAAGCAACTAGCTCAAAGCCAAGATGTCTCCTAAAAACAGCACCAGCAGCACAAGCAGCAGCAACGATACTCCAGCCCACTCATCAGCAGTAAGCATCCACCTCCCGGCATTCAACAGTCAAGACTTAGAATTATGGTTTGCCCAAGTGGAAATGCTGTTTGATATAAACGGGTGCAACGACGAAGGGAAACGTTTTACATCCGTGGTGGTGGCGCTCGGCCCCCAAGAAGCAGCAGAGATGAGAGATGTGATCATCAATCGACCGGCAACATCACCGTACCAGACGGGCCAAACCTTACACTGCTGTACGGCTGCAAGAAATTTAAGGAGTTCAAGGAAAGACTCAAAATATATGAGAAACTATGCAATAAGACGGAAGAGACAAAACAGCCCTTAAAGACAGAAAAACAGATGTACGACGATAAATACGACGGAAGATAAGACGATAAAAGAACGCATGCTACAACTGTGGAGAAGTTGGACACATTTCAGCAAGATGCAAGCACAAAGAACCAAAGTGCTTTAAAGTGTAATGTGTTTGGGCACAAAGCGAAAGATTGTCAAGTTGTGGAGGTCCAAACTGTTCTGTGCGATGGTGAACAGTTCGTAAAAGACGTAAAGATTGAAGAAATTAAGTGTGTAGCGTTGATTGACACAGGCGCCGCAGTCAACATTATGACGTACAGAATTTACAAGCAGGTAGGTAGTCCGAAACTGAACGGGACTACAAAGATTTTAAAAGGTTTTGGAGGATGGATGACAAAACCAGATGGTCATATCACATTACCAATGACGATAGACGGAAAGACGTACGCTAGTAAATTCTACGTTGCAGACGAAAAGAACTTTGACGTTATATTAGGGCGAGTTTCTAAACGACGTGAACATGACGATTAAACGAGGAAAGATAACGTTTGACACGTTAGACGATGATGCATTGCCAATCATGTCGATCGAAGCAGAGGAGCAAGATGAGATATTGCCAATTGAGACAAAAGATGTGAAGAGGAAAGAAGTAGTACGAAAGATGAGTGAAGATTACCAGCTGATAGAGACAAAGAATGACAGAGAGCTGTTAGTTGTTCCCGAAGAAATGGAAACAGAAATAATTAAGAAGGTTCATGAAAGAGGACATTTTGGGGTAACTAAATGTAAAGAGATAATCGAGGAAGAATTTTTTATTAAACGCTTAGAGGAAAAGCTAGAAAGAGTAATAAATTGCTGCGATAAATGCATTTTATTAAACAGGAAGATGAGAAAGAAAGAAGGATGTTTAAACCAATTGTCGAAAGAAGATATTGTTGTCTTAGAAGCACTGCGTGAAGCCGATGAAGAGCTATTTGACGAAAATAGACAATTTCTACGAGAACAGGCAAAAGTCGCAATCGCCAAGATCCAAAAAGAAAATAAGATGACATTTGACCGCAAACGAAAGCCGGCACAGACATATAAAGTAAATGATCTGGTTGCAATTAAACAGACGAAAATGCTAGTTGGAGGAAAATTTAAACCGAAGTTCTTAGGCCCGTACAAGATTATTAAGGCAAAGGGTAAGGACACTTATGATGTTGAAAAAGAGGGCATTCATGAGGGGGGCGAATCTGACCAGTACCTGTGCTGAGTACATTAAGCCGTGGTGTCCGATAGACGACAAAAGACGAGCAATGTTCGAGGGCGAACACCTCAGGATAGCCGAAGTTATGTAGGATTGAACGGCTAATATTCGAGAGCCTTTCAGACGAATGAGCACACTTCAAGGGCATTGGGGCTATACAGACGACAGACGATCATTTAGAAGTTGTGGACGTCGGGTGTGCTGGAGTTGTCACAGAAATTAACTGACTTATTTTGTGTAATCTTAATATTTTTGGGGATTTTTCTGTCATTCACGTTTTATATTCATTAAATTATTATCATTTAACTGCCAAAAGTCCATATTATTATTATTTGTATCAACAATCCTACAGTATATTGTTGTTTCGTAATTTGCTTTAATTAAAGAGATATTTTTATCATCATGTCGTCAAAACAGGAAACCTTATATTCAATATAATAGCTAGCTTGGAATGTATACTTAGACTGCCTTCACTGGAATCGACTAACGTCATATACCTAAATAAATTCTTTTGTATTTACCTGCTATTAATGGCATCGCTATGATGTTTTGAACTGAATCGATGAAGTAGTGGTGGACGGATAAATTTGATGTTTTTATACGAAAATCTTTCCTACAACAAAAGGATTAAAACAATCACTCAATTGTTACAAATTTAGCCATTTGTCTTAAGAGAAAAATGAAAGTTTGTGTATTTACGTAAAATTAAGTTGCCGCTCTGTCCATGATTGGTAGATTAAAGCCGTTAACATTAACCAAACAATATAACCCATTTTAAAACAACTGGAACATAATAGAATATAGTCATGGTTAAATCTACATGTGTTAAATCAGCACGTAAAGCACACAACCAGATATTGTGAAACAGTTCTAAACATCAATGGAATATTATAATATACTAGCTGCCCTGCCAAACTTCGTTCCGACTTTGCTGTCCTGAATATTTTCTATTTCAAAATTGACAAATTCATTTTTATAATTATTGTCACAAAATGACTTCCTATTTGATAATTGTTAATTTTAGGCGTTTTTTTACTTTTGAAAATACTGGAACTGAAACATTTCCAAGTAGACCGATTTGTGAATCCAAACCGTTCTCAAACCCACCTAAACACACACCAAAAATTTCATCAAAATCGGTTCAGCCGTTTAGGAGGAGTTTAGTCACATACACACGAACATCGCTTTTTCACATGACTATACCAACTACTTTCACAGCAAAAGCTGTTTTAAATATATACTCCATTATATTGTTATGGAGTAATGTAATTTCACTTAACAGTATATTTACACCCTCTTGTGTGTTAGTATATCACAAAACATAGTTTGATAAAACTATTTTGATCCCCTCCGGGTAAAAATGTTACGTTACAATTTAACGATGCTTCACAACAAAGGTCCTTTATTTGTATTTCAGCATACAAACAGTGCCTACAAAACAACGGTTTTATAAACATATTGTTAATTGCTTCAATTCAATCACCGCGCCAAGAGTGAAATGCTGACAAGGAATGGATTTTGAATTTTGATTAAATGTTATACACATATGTGTCAATATGTCGGCAGCAAAATATTTCGTAAACAATGTTTTTCAACATGAAATAATTCCTCCACAAAAGCATAGAGCTTTTATGCTAAACAATCACTACTTACTTCGATCACTTGATCAACTTGATTGGTTAACTAAAACTAAAATTTAAAGAGGTAAAAAAGTTGCGTTCAAATATAAACGGTTATTGTTGCCCCGATGAATAACATGCGTTCTTTTTAGAAATTATTGTTTTCAGTGTGTAAGTTCTTCATGGCATTTTAAGCGTAATAAAACCATAAATGTGATTTATAAATCACATTTCTAATATTATGCTTTATTGATAATTACAATTGTTCGTGTAGGTATTTTAAATTACATTGCAACAATAACACTTAAAAATGGATGATAAGTATTACTCGATTTCAGTTTTTCTGCTTAGCAGAAATTAACACAGCTATCATTGCTTTTTTTGTTAATACTACACATGATCAAAAACGTAATTTAAGTTTCTACTTACTTTTTGTATCTTTGATGTGTGCGAGACCAAAAAGAGTAGCAAAATGCACGCTTTATTATAATTATATGATGCTTATTTATTTTGGCACCTTTCACATTCGTGTTGTTGACTACTACTCGACCGGTATGCACATATTCGAATTAAATTTTAAGCTAAACTGACGGAAAATAGTTTGTTCGCATCAGTTGTTTTTTAGTATCGGTGAGCGTACATTGTGATACTCAGAAACTGATACTACGAGCATTGACTTAAAACAGATCCGTTTTATTATAAACAATATATTCAATTCAATACTTTTAACCAATTTGCGCTCGTATTCAGTTTTCACTGTATTAAACTTAATTTATCGTATAAAATGTGATATAATAGTAATAAACTAATTTGATCTTGTCTTACAAAAAATTATGATCAAGATAACAAAAAAAATGCAATTTCTGCTTAATTTTTACCAAACATTAAAAAAAAAACTTTCTGGTACTCTATTTATCTGGTCAACAATACAAACTTGAATTGGCAATACCGTCGACGACGTCGTCATGCATCCTGCTACTCCTGCCAAATCGATAATCGCGTACATCGCGTGCGCGTACGTTAAATAAGCGGCGATTTGCCCGCCGGCAAGGAATCGAGCAGAATACAGCTTCCGCCGTCTGCGCAAATAACGCACGCTGAATGCGTCATTACTAACCAGTCTTTCGAGTCAGCCCAAAATCAACACAACAAGCTTATCTCATTACTTATTATTCCTTGATCCGAAAAACTACGCACGTCAAACCACGAACCAGTAGTGAAAATACAACACGTATATCCAAAGTCAACGTACAAGGCTGCGACCTACTTTGCCTTCGAGCAATCCGCGACTATTTTTACATATTCAACTCGGAACATAATTTAATTACTGACATACGCGCTTTAGCACCGCGCTCGTGTGACGCGAATAAACTCACGTCTACTTAAAAGTTTCTACAGGTATTTTTATCCAAAAAATGTTATTGGAAGCATTGATAATTGCATCTGAAAGAGCCGCGAATATTGCGCGAAAGTGTCGAGAAGATGAGCATCTTTTCAAGTTGTTGATAGAAGAAAAAAGCGAAGATGAAGCTAATCCAAGATTTGTTCAAGACTTTAAAACCCTCGCTGATGTTTTGATACAAGAAACTTTAAAACATGATATTGGAAATCAGGTAAATAGAAATGAATGTGTAAAAATCGTAATTTTCACAACTTTTCATTCGCAGTATCCGGAAATGAAAGAAAATATCAAAGGAGAAGAAAGTAATGTGTTTTGTAATGCATTGGGTGAGCGTATCAGCGTAGAAAAGTTAGAATCATCGACACAAACAGCCGAATTGTTATCGAAAGTCCTAAATGACGATCCAGAGGCTGCCCATTTACTAGCTGAAGAAGTGCATAGAGATTTAACAATCGACGATGTTGCAACACAACGACCGGACGTTGAAATTAGCCTTAATTACGCCAAACTCGGAGTTTGGATCGACCCGATTGGTAAGGTAATTGTCTTAATATACTTAATGTACCTGAACAACCAAACCTAACTTTGTTTACCTATAATTGGTACAACGTTAAACTTTATAATTGCTTAATTTTAGACTCTACAGCAGAATATATAAATGGGACCAAAGACAAAGACTGCCAGGATTGTCAGGATGACTCCCAAACATTTTCCACCGGTGGATTAAAATGTGTCACTGTATTAATCGGTGTTTATGACCTTGAAACCGGTGGCGCCATCATGGGAATAGTAAATCAACCATTTTCTTCCTACCAAGATGGAAGGTATCTTAAAAATTTTGCAGGTTTTTGATGTGATAACTTCAGAATTTTCTTTTCAGATGGCGCGGTAAGTGCTATTGGGGCGTTTATACCGACACGGTGAAATGTTGCTCCATCACCTCCGATTCTCAGACTGAGCCTTCTTATGTAAAAGTAGGCACTAACGTGGTTTGCCTAAGTGGTAGTGAAGATCAAAGCATCAAAGACAAACTAAGGTCCGGCGGTTTTGAATTGGTGGAGGCGCCGGGCGCTGGTTACAAGATGCTAGCGACTGTTGTAGGTTTAGCAGACGTTTACCTTCTCTCGAAAAGTTCCACCTTTAAGTGGGACAGTTGTGGACCACATGCGCTCTTAAGAAGTCTCTCGGGTGACATTGTTGTTTTTGAGGATGCGGTACACCGAGATGAGACTATAAGCGTCAATTATCGAGTGGATTCTGAAGCAGGCACTAATAAAATAGAAAGTTGTTGCAACAAAGGTGGAATCATTGCGTTTAGAAATTGTAGTATAATAAATAAAATTGTGAGTTTATTACGAGATGAGAATGATGGCGGAGCATGAGAAGAAGAGATAATTATTGTCATACAAATTCCATTTTGATATAAACAAAAACAGGGTATTCTTCGTAGAAATGGCTATAATTTAATTAAACATTAAACAGTATTAAATGGTAAATATAAAGTAATTATTTTGGGATTGCAGTAAAGGTTTTGCTGCATTTATTTTAATTTAAAAATTTTGTTTATCTTAATAACAAAACTCATTTTATTTCAGTTAATAATTAATTTATGTAGAATTTTATGGATGAAGTATACGAAGTTTAGCAACTACTAGTTATAACATATACGTATGTATCTATGCATTCCTGAAATAAAACAAAATGAAATATAGTAATTATTTTTTAATACCTTGTTTGTTTGTCGTTAGCACAAACGTGACGTTGATGTCGACGTTGGCTGAAATTTATTACGCACCGCATATAATTGCACTCCTATTCCTTTTACTTAGTTATGTGCATGGCGAAATTAAAAGGAAGCGTAGTTTATTCCGTCCTCAAACATCCGGTAATCGCCAAGAGCAAACAGAAGCGTTTGATGGTAAATTTTAATTTACCCTTCATTTGCTTTTAAATTAAACGGCGATGGCTGGCTCACGTCTACGCCGTAAAACATCGTCGACACAAAGTGCATTTTATTAAAAGCGATCGTCCGTATCTATGAAATGCTTGAAACGTCATTAAAGCGGAAACTTTTCACAAGCGCTTGGGACAAAAATGCTTCGCGCATAACTCGTTTTTATTTTATGACACGGAAGCTTGACACAAAATATTATCCACGAGTACTGCCAGTGAGTGTAGTAGTTTTATATTCGCACATTCTCAATGAATTCAAGTAATACTAAAGTGTTTGTGTCAGTGTTTTCTGTTTTCTGCTCTCGGAGTAGTTTTATACATGGCATGACGATGGCGCATGAAAAACAAAGACGTTTTGAATGTTTTTCATTCCTTTCATTGTTTTGTAATGTTTTCATTTATCTGGCGACGTGGTTTGATGAATACTAAGACAACTTCTTGTCCTAACTATCTCGTGATTGTAAAACTTTAAAATCCTACTTAAAATTTTATCGCGTTTCTATTTTCAAGCGGTTGCCATCAATATGGTTAATGTCGGAATTGTAAGTATTTTTTTTCTTTCTGTACAGTTGTTATGTACTCGACGTTGTTAGTTACTCGCGATGCATTAGTTGTAAGTTTAAATGCAAATCTGTTGCGACGTTGATCCGACGTGCTGCGAGTCGACAACTGTGCGGAGTAAAAGTTTGAGTGGGAAAAGCATGCAATTTTCGTAATTGGTTTCGCTCTCGCAAATAACACCAGTTCTTCTTCTTGTTTTCTAGCCACGTTTTAGTTGAACTTGCTAGTCATTGATAAACTGTAAAGGTGATATTAAAAGAAATAATTTTACTCTTTTTTTTTTTGGGAACTATGGTTATGTTATGCTCATAAATCTAACCATAAAATAACAAAAGTTGTTTTTACTACGCCGCCATTAAAATACGGTTGTTATTCAACCAAAATAAAGCTTTCACTCTTAACGACATTTATTTCTAAGGTTTCAAAGCAAACAGAGGAGTAATTCTTATTAATTATTTAAAGTTTTCGGCGGCCGGAAGTCGGTGGCGTGGCGATGCGTGCATTTTGGAAACTCCAAATGGAAAAGGCAATGCAAATGTAAATGCGAACGCGAACGCGCAGAATAAGAAAGCGAATACGAATGCGAAAAACTAGAATGGGAAAGACCAGCGAGATGAGGAAGCAACGCGCGGCCATGAATTATTTATTGCGGCGCGAACGCGCGAGCGAGCCGAACAAATAGAACGTAATGCGATAAGGGGGGCGGTGTGGGAGCCGCCGCCGTCGCTGTGTAAACTATTTTAACGAAATTACGTGGTTAATGAACCTTTGAAATTTATCTTCGATGGAAAATTGTCCGCTGACAGTTACAATATGCAATTTTAATACAAAACATCAATGAAATCATGTATAGTTGGTTGCCTAGGTAGATTTTTAAATTATATATAAAATATTTTCCATTTATGTAAGATTCAAATTAAAATCTTAGGAATTTGATTATTAACATGAATAATTCTTGAAGACGATAAATATTCATGTTGAAAATATTTATATCCCCGAATTTGGTTTGTTTCGCATATTCAAAATTGAAATTGATTTCCATGGCACCGAAAGCATCCGGGTGAATATCCAAAATTCCTAACTGTTTCGGATTGCTTATTAAACTCGCCGAGCCGCCGCGGCGCCACGAAAATTACGAATCTTAAGTGGCGCGCGGCGCGCGCTTATTTGTGGGCAAATTTACCTAACGACAGCGCCCCCGAGCCGCCGCCTCCGCCATCGCCGTCGACGCATGAATATTCATTATAAATAGAATTTGTTATTTAAGTTATAATCCTGATATCATATATTAAAACATGAATTAAAACTTTGTAATGTAGCTTCCTTCCCGGCGGCACGACAAACGCGTTTTGCGGCGGCGGGCGAGGGTGGCGTGTGAAAGCGCAACCAACTCCGTTGAGCACGAAGAGCGTTGGAGCATCAGATAGTCCTTACGCGCGGGCAAAAGGCACGCGGAAAATTAAATTAGATTACAATTTTTTAAACTTTCCCAACGTGTTTTTTTACGTCTCCTTTTTTTCCGGTTTTACCTTAAGGCTGTTTTTGTGGGCTGCCGCTTGCTGGTTTGTTGGGCGTTTCAATATTTAATTTTCGGCGGCTGTTTTCGCGGCGTGCCAGGACATTATAATTTTTTAATTTGCATTCATTTGCATGTTTTAAAAATTTGCAAAAAGACAAGCAGAAATTATCACTTAGCGCCCTCAGCAGAAAAGGGGTGGCAAAGCGATGCAATGACGACGTTGGAAAGAGGCTTGATGTTTGGTTTGGTTGTAATGAAAAAGAGCGTCCATCAACGGGGCACTTTTCCGGTTTTAGGCAATCGAATCAATCCTGTCTGTCGGTCACTCGCGTCAATCGTGAATTCAATTAACGTCGACACGTGCATGTTGACTATACAAAGGGTTACTACTACAAGAATGTATTCACCAAATGTGTTTACATATAAAAAAGGTCTTTTGATAAGAAACATTAATTAAAAAGAAACAGAGACATTAATTTAAGTACATTAAAATATCAAAATTATTGTCAAGTTTATTCTGCATTGAATAAATATGTATTTTTGCATTGCAAACAACGTGTACGTCAATTAAAACCGCAAAAAAACGTTTTTGTCATTCAATGTTGATTTTTGCACAAATTCCACGGAATTGCACAAAATTCCAATTTCAATTGCAATTTTTTATTAACCGTATGTTGTGGCATTGCATTCCGGTGCGCAGCGGCGACTTGTAAAAACATTTCACAAATCGCCCTGACAAATCTCCTCTCAAGCCACAAAAGTACTTCAAAGATGCGGAGATCTAGGAACAATTCTTTTCTTGAGTATGAAGTAGTGAAGCACAATGCATCAGTGCGACGCGATGCTATCTGGAGCTAGTAACTCATTTCTCGATGCTGGTATTTGTTTTTGCGCAAACGTATTTTTGCTGCTTGTAGCGGCGACTTAGCCATCACCATCAATTTATTGCCGAAAAGTGAGCAACATTCAAGTCAACAGACATAGAAGATAAAGTTTGCGGGCAATAAAGTTGTACCTACGAAAATTATCTCAAATATGTTTTCTTCTAGGATAGATAAAATTAATACATAAAATGAAACGATTTTTGAACACTTTTTAGCTGATTAAGGCAAAAAATGCAAAAATTTTCTAAAAAAAATATTTTCGTGCATTTTCAATTTAATAATATTCTGTTATTTTCATCGGAAAGAAACCTAACAAACAAAAAATAATTAAAATTGTTCCAGCTAATTAAGAGTTATAAATAGCCACCAATTTTTGTATAAAGATAAATAAACCCTTCATAATTTCTTATAATGCTTAAATAATCTGATTACTTTTTCTAACTAGACGTCCAATTTTTGTGAAACTGAAACAATATGTGTTTCGTCCCATTTTGAAAACTAGCAGATGCGCAAACAAAAAACTATAGCATAGCAACGCGAAATAATAGCACATCAAGCAGTGCTACAAAGACGTGCTCTCAGCACGTCGCCGTCGACGCACAAGAATGGAAAAAAACAAAAGACAATAACAAAACCGAATGATGCCCTCACATCGCCCTAGCGCGCCCGTGCGCGCAGGCATAAAGGGTGCATAATACTAAAACTACTTTCTCACCCCCGCTTGCGCACGTTACCGAGGTCTATTACAATGGGAGCGATGAGCACAGGGTGGTTTGACGCGCAGTCACGTCGCCGAGACACCAATTTCGGAAATAAGCCACACGTGTAACATTATCATTACTCTTTCAGGACAGAATTCATCAGAAATACATTACGATGGCTTTGCAACGCCACCTGAAAGTCTGCAAACCTTACAACATACGTGTTGTTGCCGTCTACACTCTGTGAAAGTGAGTTGGAAGCAGCGTAGGAGTAGATGATGTCTGCGCTAGAGCAGAGCAAGCAATTCCTGACGGGATTCGGGAGTGTTGTGCAAATGTTATCCGAGGGCGGCAAGTTTTCGAACAAGGCGAAAGGGCTTCTTCTTCCCGATGCTGCTGGGATGTTCTCCGGAGGTTGTTCGAGAAGTGTTTCTTTTCGTAGTTCATCTGGTTGTCGGGTTGTTTGTTTTCCAAGCAGTCAGGGACGTCAGGAAGAATTCTTGTTGAGACGAGAAGATGGATATTAAAATAGTAAAAACTTTTCTTCAGTTTATAATAAAATAAGGTTTAACAAAAATCAATCTCTACTTTGACCCTTTGATGCGTTTTGTTTTATGTTTTGTTTTAATGAAATTTTCCCTACTGGAGAGCTAATTAGTTTGAAAATTAATTAAGAAAATCTTGATGCAATCTATTGTCGCCGGCTGCATTCAGATTCTGGTTTCCGCCTCACATTTAGCTTTCCAGTGGTGTAGTGTGGGTTGCAGCGCATCGCTTATATTTAGCGTAGCAGGCACGCAAGACACCGAACGCAAATGCCCCAGCTCTCATCAACCAGGATAATAATTATGCATGCAACCGCTATAAATCTTCCCGACTCGACATTTAAGCGAACGCAATCCGTCCTGCTCTTTAAACATTAACGTCGTGGTGCGCAAATCTTCGGCTGCAGCGTTTCAGATAAACATTGCATCCACGATGCGGTAATGAATAATTTTCATTGATGCAATATATTGCGTAAATACAAGCGCTGCAGCAACTTTAATTGCAAAAAGTCAGTTGTAATACTAATGAAAATCATAAAATTTTTAAT